AGAGGCGAGTGAGTTTCAGCGTGGTCTACATATGGAGGTCCAGGCCAGTTGAGGCTCAGGGGAGACCCTATCCAAAAAAAAAAAAAAAAACAAAAAACCCAAAAAACAAAAAAGGCATAATGTCTCACACCTATAATCCTGGCAGTCAGGAGATTTGGGCAGGAAGATTGCAAGTTCCAGACCAGCTTGGGCTATGGCAAGACTCTGTCTCGAAAAATGAAAATGGGAAGCTCGAGAAATGGCTCAGTGGTCAAGAGCACTGGCTGCTCTTGTAGAGGACCTAGGCTTGGTTCCCAGCACCCACATGGCAGCTACCGACCATATGTAACTGTAATTCCAGGGGCCCTGATGCCCCCTTCTGACCTCTGTAGGCATTTCACACATGTGGTATGCTTATAGACATGTAGGCAAAACACCATACACATAAAAAATTTTAAAAATTTGTACTTAAAAAAACAGCAGCAGCCGTATGGATGAAAGAATAGGGATGGGCTCAGCTGCCTGGTGTGAGGCCGGAGCTGTGGCCTTACTTGGGATTTAATTCAGAGGTTGGACTGAAGTTTGCACTGCCAGGAGTGCTCCCTTATGCCTGGCTTGTCAGTGTTCCTCTCCAGGCCTCCCTACTGGTGTCTCCATGCCCAGCTTCCCTGACAGGGAGTAATCCTGCTTCTCAGCATTGCACAGACCAGGCTGTGTACAGTCTTTCATCCCTTCAGAGCCCCTTGAACAGCTAAAAATATGCCTGCTTTTCTTAGACAAGTACTCATTTTGTAGATTGCATACCTTGGCAGGCAACCTTTTAAATCTAAATTTTCAACTTTCCTTCCTCTGTAATGATTGGGAATTCTGATTCCAGCTAAGTTAGTAATTATGTGGTTTAGCTTTTGTAATTCTTAATGACTACAGCTGTAGGTGTACTCATAGTTCCGGAACAATTAAAAACTGACATTTTATCGAATAAGAGAGTCTGCTAAAAATCCATTTCCTGGCCAGGAATATTTTGGGGTCTAAGGCATTCCATCGTGGAAGTTTCAGGAGCTTCTTCAAAGGTTGGACAGGAACACCCCTTCACAGGCCCTTGGTCAAGAGCCTTTAGGTTACTGCCATCAGAAGTTCCTGGGGATCGAAATGAGCCTGGGATTGGGGTTGGCCTGCATCTCGGGTGTGTCTGGCTGCAGCTGTGATGCTCAGGTGTCTTTTGATGAGCAACAAACCAGGTGCTTGCTTAGTGGGCATGGCAGGTGTGCTCTGGGGGTGTGGCTGTCCGCTCATGGTTAGGCCAGATATGCCCTCTGGAGGTTGGTGTTGGAGATTTCTGCTGCCAACCCAGCCAGGGAACCTGGACCCAGAACCTCTGTCAGCTGGGAGGGAAGGGTGGAGCACGTCAACTGGCCGATGGGGCTGGTGGGGGAGCCGGTGGCCCTTTGTTTCAAACAGCTGTTACTAACGAAGCTTTTTTCTTCCCCTTTCCTAGGGAAGACTTAGGGTTCAGATTTGTATCTGAACAGGTCAGTCACCACCCTCCCATTAGTGCGTTTTACTCAGAAGGTCTCAACCAGGACTTCATGTTCCACGGCTCCATCTATCCAAAGCTGAAGTTCTGGGGCAAGAGCGTGGAAGCAGAGCCCCGGGGGACCATTACGCTGGAGCTTCTCAAGTGAGTTGCAAGAGTCAGCAAGGGTCAGAGCCCTGCTCTGACTGGGAGGGAGTCATCGCCTCCATGCCTCATCAGCCTTCTTGGGGAGATCCTGGCCTTCCATGGGGCAGGCTTTCTGTCAGTGGCAGTCCCTTAGTGAAGCTTCTGGTCAGGAGAGTTCCTCTGCCTGCTAAGGCAGATGAGGCCCATATTCTCTCTGCATACTTATGGGCCACACTGTAGCCATGAGCGCTTGCTGTATAACAACTGCAAACAAGCAGCCCATCATTACTGTGTTAGCCCCACTGTGTTAGGATCTGCTGTGGACTTGCCATACCTGGTCACTTACCAGTTTTAAGGACCTGAGAGTCTGTCTTCCACTGCCACCCAGGAACAGAGACGCAGGGCTCATGAGGGCAGCCCCTGTGATGGATGCTCAGCTACTGGATCTGTCTCCTGGTGGTCTTTGCTTTGAGGGTTGAGGTGTGCAGAATTGGAAAGCTGCAGACGTTTTTGAGAAATGTGTTTGGGTTCTACCCTAGTCATTCAAGAGAGCCAGATAAATGCCCTGAACCATCCCTATGCCAGGATCCTTGTCCTCTTACCATTGGCTCTTTGATGTAGCCTCCCCAGGCACAAGTCTGGGACCCACTGCATCTCACCTTGGGGTGTTTTTCTTGGGGTAGGGCCATTTCAGAGGATGAAGAGTGAAAGAAGGTATAGAGTGTGGGGTGTTGACAGCTGCAGCCTTCTCCTGTGCTCTGCACATAGCCAGGGGCCCAGGACTGCCTGCTCTCAGGCCTTTGCTTTGTCAGTTTCATAGGAGAGCTGTCTCTTTGTTTCAGTCTTTTATTGCTTATTAGCTTGCCTTGACATTTAAGTAGAAAGCTTTGTTGATGCTACAAAGGAAAGAAGAAATCCATTTCAGACTCACGTGAACTAAATGGCCTGCACTGGAAGGACTTCAAAGCATTGTTTTGCTTCCCGGCAGTCATGGTCTGGTTTTGTCTGGTCATGGTGGTGTGGGTCACACAGGGTCTGAGCATCACTGCCCTGACTTGCTTGTTTTTGGTTTCTTCACAGACATAACGAAGCCTACACCTGGACCAACCCCACCTGCTGTGTGCACAATGTCATCCTTGGGCAGCTGTGGATTGAGCAATATGGGACAGTGGAGATCCTAAACCACAGGTGACAGGCCAGGCTGTGCATGACAGGACAAGCTATGATGGGCTGACAGACCTGGAGGAGCTATTGCTGTCCACACCACTGTACTGGGGCCCCCAGGCATGGTGGCTGGTTGGATTTAGTTCTGGCTAGTGTTGAACTCATGAGGAGGAGTTCCCTATGTTGATTAGTTGGTTTTAGTAACAATTGTTAATGTATTTGAAAGTGTAAAGCACTTGTGATGTCAGTGCTAGGTGAAAATGTAGTTACCAAGCTCAAGTAGTTTCCAAGGGCTCAGGCTTGTAGTTAGGCGCCCATGGCTCATTGGCTTTGCTTATTAGCACCTTAGTGAGGCATAATTTATAAACCATAAAATTTACCCATTTTATAAATGGTTTCTTATGTGATATTTTCATAAATTACCCCAGTTGTACAAACTGTCACCCCAAGTCAGTTTTAGAGCATTTCTTTCCCTTAGCAAAAGTCCCTGTGATGCTGGCCATCACTTGCTGCCTCTCCTGGGTGACCTAGTCTTCTTCTCCCTGCACCTGGTTGGTCCTCTGGTCAGCTCACTTCATGGCTGACACCCAGTTTGTTTTTCCCACAGAACTGGAGATAAGTGTGTCCTTCACTTCAAACCATGTGGACTATTTGGGAAGGAGCTTCACAGAGTGGAAGGGCACATTCAAGACAAGAAGTAGGTCTGCCCAGCTGATACCCTGCGCACGTGGGTTACAGTGGCTAGTGCTGCACCTCGCTGGCATTATACAGTGATGTCTGTTCATGCTGGAAGCAGTGCCAGTTCTTCATTTAAAAAAGGAAGTTGCCGGGCGTGGTGGCGCACGCTTGTAGTCCCAGCACTTGGGAGGCAGAGGCAGGCAGATCTCTGTGAGTCCAAGGCCAGCCTGGTCTACATAGTGAGCTCCAGGACAGCTGGGGCTATGGGAAGACCCTGTCTCAAAAAGACGAAAAAAAAAAAAAGGAAGTAAATGGCCAGGCGTGGTGGCACACACACACCTTTAGTCCCAGCACTCGGGAGGCAGAGGCAGTTGAATCTCTGTGAGTTCAAGGCCAGCCTGCTCTACATAGCAAGTTCCAGGTCAGCCGGGGCTACAGGGAGACCCTGTCTCAAAAAAAACAAAAAAAGGAAGTAAATGACAAATTTTGAATGTAACCTCTGATGACAGGAGAGTGGAGCCTGTCGCCTCTGGAGGGAAAAGATAAGTTGGCCTGAGAAATTAGACCTTTCACCCAGAGATAATGGGTGTACCTTTTTTGTCCATTTTCTTTGTTTTGTTTTTGAGATGATCTTGCTATGCTGCCCAGGATGACATCAAACTCACCATCCTCCTGCACCTGCCTCCCAAATGCCTCACCTTGCCTGGCTCTAGTGCTGCAAATTTACAAGCAGAACTGTGACTCTTAACACGTCGCCACGATCCTCCTCCCTGCTGTACCCACTGCCCCCTCAGCAAAGCACGCTGCGTACAGGGCACTGTTGTTCAGGGCCTTGTTCCAGTGTGCAAGCACAGTGCCTGCTGCACAAGCAGCAGATGTGCAAGATATCCAGCATCCAAGGACCGGGTTTGTGAGCGAGCAGGGAAGTGGTCAGTGGGGTTCTGACACATTTCCCAGGTTTTTCTCCCTTTGGGTAAGTTGTATTCTAGATCTCAAAGTTTTCCTTTCTCTTTTCTTTTTCATATAATGCCAAGGGTCGTCCTAGCTGCCGACACCCAGTTTCCAGCTTGAGCATAGTTCCTTTACTCTTTGTACCTTCTCTTGGGAACCAGAAACTCATCTGTTCAAACACCCTGTAAACTGCTGAGACCTTAGACTCTATGTCTGGACTGTAAAGGGCATACAGGCCCATCCATCGTCAACGATGACCAGGGGCACCAAGGCGCCCCCCTCACAGGGTCACTCAGAGCCTGGCCCACCCACAGTCCAAGCCTGAGTCTCTGGGAGATCCTTGTTTGGCTTGTGGGTTTTGCATCCTGAATATAAACATGCTTTTTCTTTCTTCTTATGTATATATGTGTTGAATGCATGTGTGTGTGCGCGTGTGCGTATGCGCGTGTGCACTCACGTGTTTATGAGCATACATGTGGAAGTAGAGGTCAACATTGAGTGCCCTCTATCATTCTCCATCGTATTTTTAATTTTTGTGACTGGGTCTTTCACTGATTTGACTGGACTGTCAGCCGGGGTGCCCAGCTTTTACGTCCTACTGGGGTCTCATGCTTGTGCAGCAGGCACTGTGCTCACTGAGCCGTCTCCTGAGCCCAAGAGTGCTTTTTTCTTGAAGAGTTGCCCTCTTATGCCACCTGGCTTATGTGGCTGGGCTGCATTCCCAGCTCTGCAAACAAGTGCTCGGACGCACGTTTCCTCCTGGTGGTACCAGCCTGTCAGGGCAGCATGTCTCGGGAGCGTGAGGCCACCGTGTGCTCTTCAGAGGGACAGAGGGACTAGGACAGAGTCCTGCACTAAGGGGCTCTGCTCTTTTTGGTGTGAGGTGGTGTGTGGCTGTGCTGTGCTGTTCTCCAGAGCTGTGATTAGATGAAAAGGACAAGTGGGTGACTGAGGAGAACACAGAGGGTGTCAGCCGACCCTGGGACGTTGCAGATGGATTTGAGAGACTAGGTCTGAAAGGCTCGAGATACAAGAAGATCCAGTAGATTTAAAAATAATGGGGCTGGAGAGATGGCTCAGAGGTTAAAAGTACTGGCTGTTCTTGTAGAAGACTCAGGTTTGAGTGTCAGCACCTACATGGCAGCTAACAGCTGTTCATAACTCCAGTTCCAGGGGATCCGACACCCTCTTCTGATTTCCAAGGGTATTGCACACACAAGTGCACTTACATACATGCAGGCAACACACACATACACATAAAAATAATTTATTTTTTGGTCTTTCTGAGACAGGGTCTCCCTGTAGCCCTAGCTGGCCTAGAACTCACTATGTAGACCAGGCTGGCCTTGAACTAACTCACAGAGATCCGTCTGCCTCTGCTACCTAAGTGCAGGGATTAAAGGAGTGTGCCACCATACTTGGCCCTCTTTTTATTTTTTTTTTAACTTTTTAAAAAAATATATTTATTTTATTTTTTGTGTATGTGTATATTGCCTGCATGCAGGTAAGTGCACCCATGTCGTTCAATGCCCTTGGAAGACAGAGAGGCTGTTGTCAGATCCCCTAGAACTGGAGTTACAGACAGCTGTTAGCTGCCATGTGGGTACTGGGATTTGAACCCGGGTCTTCTGCAAGAACAGTCAGTGTTCTTAACTGCTGAGCCATCGCTCCAGCCCCTTAACTTTTTAAAAAATATTTTATTTATTATTTTTATTTTATGTGTATGAGTGTATTGCCTGCACGTAGGTAAGTGCACCCATGTCGTGCAATGCCCACGGAGGATAGAAGAGGCTGTCGGATCCCCTGGAACTGGAGTTATGGACAGTTGGTAGCTGCCATATGGGTGCTGGGATTCAACCCTGGGTCTTCTATAAGAACAGCCAGTGTTCTTAACCACTGAGCCATCTCTCCAGGCCCATCTTTTTATATTTTTATTTTATGTGCCTGAGTGTTTTGCTTGCAGGTATGTAAGTGCACCTGTGTCATGAAGTGCCTGTGGAAGAGGGTGTCAGATCATCCCTTGGAACGGAGGTACAGAAGGTCGTTAGCTACCATGTGGGTGCTGGGAACTGAACCTGGGTCTTCTGCAAAAGCAGCCAGTGCTCATAACTGCTGAGCCAGCTCTCCAATCCCCAGACTTTTTCTTTTTATCAACATTTAGTGATATCCCAGAATGCAGACTTGACAGAAGAGGAGTGTGCCCAGGTCAACGCCAAGATGTTGTGTGTATAGATGAGTGGCCCATGGTTGTTCTTAACTGGGTTTTAAACACCCTTTACTGCAGTAGGAAGAAGCTCTTCATAATCTACGGCAAGTGGACGGAATGCTTGTGGGGCATAGATCCTGCTTCATATGAGTCCTTTAAGAAGCATGAGAGGAGAGGTGACCACCCGAGGAAGGTCAAATTGGTGAGTGCCGGTTGTAGCAGACCCTGGGCAGGGTGGAGCCTGAGGTGGGCAAGGGCCTTGTGACCTGATCCAGAGCACCATGCTTTTGTGGTCTCAGCCAGGAGATACAGTGCATGATTCTGTCTGTCCAGGTAAAGCAGTCTTCTGTCTGGGTTGTAGCGTGGGTGCAGAGGTGTGTGGACTGTTTGATGCTGTGGCTGCTCTTATAAGCAGGAGGCATCCAAGAGAATGTAAGTCCTTTTCTTTTTCCACAAAACTCATTTCTTTTTTGGAAAGATCTAGGGTTTTGTTATTCTGTACACACTTGTGACTAATCCTAGGATCTGGTATAGCAGGCATCCTCTATCTCCAGCCTTCTGGTTTTTGTTTTTTGAGACCAGGTCTCCCTGTTGCCCCAGATGGCCTGGAATTATGTAGACCTGGCTAGCCTCCATCTCACAGAGATCTACCTGCTTCTATCTCCTGAGTGCTGGACTAAAGGTGTGCTCCACCACACCTGACTCTCAAGGGTTGGGACTAAATCCCCCACCCCTCCCCAGCACTGGGACTAAAGATGTGCACCACCTCGCCTGGCCGCTTCTTATTTTGATACAGGGTCTTAAGTTGCCCAGGCTAGTGTTCAACTCCCCTGTAGCTCAGCAGACCTAGCTTTGTAACAAATCTCTCTTGTTTTGCCTGAGTCAGCTGAGACCTATTCAAAAAGCCAAGTGCATTAATTTCTGCTCTGAATTCTCAGTAATATATTCAGCAGTCAGGAAGTATTGGCAGGGACTTTCCCCCCAGAATTTTGGAATACTGATGACTTTTAAGATGAGTTATTCTTGTTTAAAACTAAAAGTTCAAAAGAGGTGTCACATTTTCTAGATAAGAAATTGGAGTGTTCCAAACCAAAGATGTCCAACCTCCTCCAGGTGTGTTTTGTTAAGTGAGCATGTACTTTTGGACAGCTTTTATGATGTATGTCCTTGAGACAAAGTAAAAGCTGTGTGGCCCAGCCTGGCCTCAAACTCACAGAATCCCCATCTCTGCCTCTTGATTCCTAGGATAAAGGTGTGTGCTACCACGCCTAGCTTCTTTTTTTTTTTTTGGTCTTTTTGAGACAGGGTCTCCCTGTAGCCCCAGCTGTCCTGGAACTCACTATGTAGACCAGGCTGGCCTCGAACTCATGAAGATCCTCCTGCCTCTGCCTCCCAAGTGCTGAGATTAAAGGCATGCGCCACCACGCCTGGCAGCTTCTATTTTTTTAAAAAAGGAAAATTCCACTTAGAGTGTTAAATCTGCTGAGTGGTGTCTGGTGCCCTTTCATCACCTCTGCTGCCTCCTTGGGTCATCGAGCAATGAGCGCAGTGCGTGGGATGGCCCACCCTTGGCTGTCTGGATCCCGGCAGCCTTGCTGCTGGCAGTGGAGGGCTGGGCTTCCATCCTTTGTGCGTGGTGTTTTCCCTGCACAGCTGCACCCGTTGCTGACTTTAAATGCAAATGCAACAGCTGTGTCTGTCAGGACGCACTCTTGGATGCAGTCTACAAGTGGCAGCTTATGAGCTTGCCCATGAGAACTGCTTCTGGATGGAGGGCAGATGGCAGGAGAAACCAGGAGGTCTTTGGTTTCAGATGTTGTGTGGCGAGTCCACAAGTAGGCCAGGCCTCACTGCCTGTCTGTCTGGCATATGGCCAAGTGTGTCTCTGAAAGAGCAGCTCAGCGTGGCCTAGCTCTGCAGAGAGCAGAGCCATGTGGAGGCAGGAGCCTGAGAACTGATGGCCTCACCAATGGTAGAGTTTGATCTTCTCTTTGGTTAGAAAAGGGTTTGGCTCTGCACAGGCGCTTGGGAGCAGGTCTTTAAGTACCGAGAACAACAGATCTAGCCATACTGAGGTGTCCTGTGTTTCAGAATGATGGTCCTGAGACACCCAACAGTGACATGACTGGTGATGTGGCAGACAATGTGCCCGTGACTCAGGAGACTGTGCAGGTCATCCCTGGCAGTAAACTACTCTGGAGGATCAACAGCCGGCCCCCCAACTCTGCTCAGGTCTGTACCCCTCTCTGAGGTGAGTCCTATTAGGTGCAAATCAGAACTGTCTGCACCTTCCCAGCTAGACCAACAGTTCTTCTACCTGGTGGCCATCCAGGTGTCCCCACGTAGACAAGGAGGCACCACCACATCCCTTTGCTCTCTAGAGCTACACCTAAACCAGCTCAAGAGTGACCTCTGCCTGCCACGGGAGAGGCCTGGGAGATGGTGTGTGGCCTCCATGTACATCACATTGATGTCCTGATGCAGAACTTACCAGTGGGTCTATATCCCCACAGGTTAATGCTCTCCCAGCTATGTCTGTTCTCTACCAGGCACACTAGGACTTGACTGTGCTCTTAGGGCTCTGCTCTCACCATATCTCATTAAAAGAAGTCTCCAGGGGTTAGGATATATATTAGTGGTAGAATGCTCACCTTGCACGTTCAAGGTCCTGGGTTCAGTCCTAGCACCATGAAAAAAATTAATGATGAGCCAGTGAAATGGCACCATGGGTAAGGTTGCTTACCACCAAACCTGACAACCTGAGTTTGATCCCTGGAACCCACATAATGGAAGGAAAGAATCAACTCCTGTAAGTTGTCCTCTGACCTCCACACATGCGCAATGGCACGTGTGTCCACATACATACACAAAATAGATGTAAAAGAGAGAGAGCACGAAGTGGCCCACCCCCATAACTCTGTTACATTCCCATGCCTGTTAGTGCTGTAGGAGGATGTGAACTGGAGACAGCACTTGTCTAGGTTATTTTTAGAATTAAGCTTACAGTTGTTCAGGGAAATTCTTTGACAATGAACTCTTGTTCCTCCATCCTTTGGTTCAGTGGTTCTGGTTGAGTCCCTGCCTACCAAAGGTTTGGTGGGGCCTGGGGTACTGGAAGCATACTTGAAAAACAGCAGGGGGCTGAAAGGATGGTTCAGTGGTTAAGAGCACTGGCTATTCTTCCAGAGGACCCAGGTTCGGTTCCCTGCTCCCACATGTGGCTCACAACTGTCCATAACTTCAGTTTCAGGGGATCTGGCACCGTTTTCTGGCCTCCATGGGCATTGTATGCACAGGTGCACTTACATATACTCAGGCAAAATACTTATACACATAAAGTAAAATTAAATAAATCCATAGAGAGACAGACAGTGAACAAGGCCCTGGCAGAGGCTAGGAGCATGCTCCTGGGAACCATGTGTCCCCTGGAGGATGCTGGGGAAGCAGGTCCCAGGGCAGGGGAAGCTGTGGTAACAGAGCAGGGTTCTGAAGAGGGGCAGGGGTGATCTGGGGACCATCTGGGGGAGCTAGGGCAGAATTGCTGGAACCCGCACAGGCCCTGGGTTCTGTGAGGCTCAGAGTACAGGGAACTCTGGCAGCCTCTGTTGCTGTTAGTTTCCCAAGTGTCCTGGAAGTCATTAAAGACAGGGGTGAGAAGAAAAAATTTACATTTCCTATGGTCCCTGACTGCATGGTCCCACATGTTCACACACAGTGGCTCACAAGAGAAGGGAAGGCCAGTAGGGAGAGTAGAGGAGTCAGGGCTCAGAAGAATTAGAAGGCAGGCCAAGGGTTGCTGTGTGTGCAGCAGGTTGATGTCCTGCTTCAGGTGTGCTTAGCTTGAGATTTCTCCCAGGCATCCAAGACATGTTGTATGAACAAGAAGACACATCAGAAGTCAGAATGAAGGTCTTAGCTAGAGAATGGGGCCTGGCTTCTTGGGTTCAGAGTGTATATCATGCCCTAGGATGGGGTAAGAGCCAGGGATGAGACTGCAGAGCCTCCAAGCTGGATAGGCAGGAGCCGTAGGTAGGCTGTGTCTCGGGCAGGGCGGAAGCCAGGTCTGAGCTGAGCAGGACACAGTTGCCGTTCTACTGAGCAGGTGATCCATGGCTTCTTGAGATGAGTTTAGGGGACCCATGATCAGACCAGGAAAACTATGTCATTCCGCCGTCTGTGACAGTGTTCCTGGGCCCCCGCAGATGTACAACTTCACCAGCTTCACTGTGAGTCTCAATGAGCTGGAGTCCGGCATGGAGAAGACCCTGCCACCTACTGACTGCCGCCTGCGCCCTGATATCCGTGGCATGGAGAATGGCAACATGGGTAACTGCTAGGCCCTGGGCTTGTGTGGGTAGGCTTAGGCTTTCCCCAGAAGAGTGCCTAGACCTTTGATCTAAACCAACAAACAGGGTGGTGCCCTCCTAGGACAACACTTTCAGAGCAGCAAAAGGCAGTGAAAGACTTGACCTTCACCCTGCCACAGACCAATCCTTTGTAAAACAGTAAAACCAAATTGAAAAAGAGTAAGCCAATTTCAGGCCAGTCTGGGCTAGAGTGAAACTGTCTCCAAACAGACAAACAAAAAACAACAAAAACAGCAATAAAGGAAATGAGCGAAAAAGAACAGGAACAAAACACAAGTCCCAGTACTTTATCCTCGGATCCCTTAGGTGTCAGAATTTCATTGTGGGCTGGGGACATAGCTGAGAAGTAGTGCTTGCATGCATGCCAAGACCCTGAGTTCTAGTTCAGACTGAGCTCACTCAGCCCACACGGGCCATTCTTTCAGTGTTGCTGCTGTGGCAGATCACTCTGACCCAGGACTGTGCTGCTCTCACACTCCAGATGAGCACTCGGTGCAGGCTTCTGTGTGATGGTTTGATGGAGTGTAGTACCAGCACAACTCTGCCCCAGATGCCTGTCACTCACAATCCTGAGCTACACTGCAATAACACGAGGAGAGAAGAATCCCCACCATGAGGGGTGCTTGGGGGAAGCGGAGCCCGTAGGTCAGGTCTACTTGCCTTCCTAACCCAGAATGCCCCTCCCTTGGGATTGACCTCTTTCATCAGCCACAGCTTATCCTGGAAGGTAGGTTCAGTGAACTCTTCATACCACGACAAACAGATTTGGGGTTCCTATATTTTGGGGTTCTGTGAACTCATTGTTCCAGACACCTGGGGCTGAATTCAGGTACCATCAAACTGCCCAGCACACCAGACCACACTTGGAGTAGTGCTGTAGTTCAGTGTGATGGGCTCCTGCTCTGTTTGTCTTAGAGAAGTGCCTCTCACACATCGGCAGGAGAGGAACAGCTCAGCGTCAACACCTGTGACTCTGCTTGGTCCCCTAGGACCAAAGTTTACTTCAACAGGTTTCCAATCAAAGTAGGATATGTCCCCTAGGGTCAGGTTGAGGGTCTGGCATCTCTCACATAACTGGAAGCTTCAAACTAGCCTTACCCTTACCCTAGTGCTTGTTTGCCTGGATCTAGATCTGGCCAGCCAGGAGAAGGAACGACTGGAGGAAAAACAGAGAGAAGCCCGGAAAGAGCGTGCCAAAGAGGAAGCAGAGTGGCGGACCAGGTGAGTTGGGCCAGAGAGAAGACCACATACACCCGGGCAGTGCGGAGGGCTCACGTACACCTTGGGCAGCACCTTCTTACTCCCTCAGCCCTGTACCGTCCGTGTGGCCGAGTAGCAAAATTATGGGTCAGTAACAGTAGTTCCCCGACCACTGCCCTCACTGTGCCTGTGTGTCTGAGGCCCAGTTTGCAACGCCTTGCTCAAAGCCACTTACCAGGAACACTGTGCACACAGGTCACCTTACTCTCAGGCCATTCTGCTTCACAGCATGTTTGACCCCAAAAGCTCTTCCCAACGTGGCCATTTTAAAGACCAAATACAACCTGAACCCAGCTCTTCACTTACGTCAACCAATTAGTTTCGGTGCTGTCCCCATGTCTACAGCTTGTGAGGTGATACACACATACACAGTGGTGCCAGGCTGAAGCTCAGGTCCTCCTGCCAGCCTGCTGTGGCATCAGGAAAGCTTCTGTCAGGGGCATGAAGCCACAGCCCTGAAATGGGCACCTCTACAGCAGCGCGGGGTGTGTGGAGCGTGCGCTGTGACTCAGGCCCACATCAGCTGCCAGCAGCTTTAGTCCTGCCTCTGACTCAGATTTCTTACATTGGTTGGTATTCTTCAGTAGCCAAAGTACTGTAACGATTAAGCACAAGTAAGGCGTGTGCGTGTGTGCATGAAAACTGTCATCTTTCGTAAAAATTTTTTTTTGGTCTTTTTGAGACAGGGTCTCCCTGTAGCCCAGCTGTCCTGGAACTCACTATGTAGACCAGGCCGGCCTTGAACTCACAGAGATCTGCCTGCCTCTGCCTTCAGAGTATTGGAATTAAAGATGTGTGCTACCATGCCCAGAAAAATCTCTGGACTTTTTAAGCAGTTCACTCCTTATCATATGCTGGATTGGTTGGGGGGGTTGGTTTTTTGAGTTGGTGTCTCCCTGTGGTCCAGTCTTGACTCAGAAGATGATAATCACTTAAACTTCTTTCTTTGTGGTCCTGGGGCTGAAACCCAGGGCCTGGCACATGCTGGGCAAGTGCTGTACCTAAGCTGCAGCACCGTCCCATCACTTCACTCTGAGCAGTCACAAAATGTGCTTCTTAGTGCACTGCTGATACCCTTAGCTGCTACTGTGTGGTGGGGCAGGGAGTATAGGCTGAACCTGCTGAGGTTCCAGCTCATGGGTGTCTTCATCCCTACCCAGATGGGACCAGCCTCCGAGGATAGCCTTGTGAAGGCTAAAGCCTTGAGGTTTGTTGGGAAATAGTGACATGGGGTGTGTGGATGAGCAGAGTCACATGGAAGTAGGTCAGTCACTCGGACAGTACTGCCTGAGGCTGCACTTCGCAACAGCATGTGCTGCTGAGGCCAACGTGGAGGGCTCCTGGCATCTGCTGACCTTCCCTTGTGTTCACAGGTGGTTCTATCCAGGCGATAACCCCTACACGGGGACTCCTGACTGGTTGTATGCAGGGGATTACTTTGAGCGTAATTTCTCAGACTGCCCAGACATCTACTGAAGGCCTCAGAGCCCAGCCTGGAGGCCTGTGAGGTTGGACTCATTGAGAGGCACTCTGAGCTAAACCATGGCAGACACCAGCTTCACAGCCACGGTCACGAGATGGCCTCAGCCCTGATGGAGGACTTGAGTTAGCCTCTGATTGCCCAGCACTTCACTATGTTGCAGCCCCCCCTTGAAGCTCCACTGAGGCCTCAGAAGAACTCCACAGTCCTTTCACTCATGACAGAAGTGCACAAGGCCAGCTGAGCCTGCAGCACAGTTGTAAAATCTAACTACCGGCCCGTGTGCTCCTCACGAGGCTGAGGCTGAGGCTGAGGCGGGGGTGTCTGGAAGAGTTTCAAACAAACCCAGACCCAAGAAAGACAAGAAGGTGGATCTTGAAAGTAACCTGTAGACCAGAGTCCGCTTCACTGTGGAGAAGTGGAGGTGTGCAGAGCACCCACGTGAATGAAGTGACAAGTTGCCAGATTCTGTATTTTCTACCAATCTTGAATAAGGTAAAGATTACTTTAACAATATTTAAATTGAAACTACTTGAATGTTCTACTGAGGAGCAGGCAGCACACTCATCACCACTGTGCACTGTTCAAACAAGGCGTTGCTATGACAAGCCAGAGTGGCAGAAACACTGTGACTTGGATGAGAACTCTAGGGCTGCTCCCAGTCTCCCAGGAGGCCCTGCCTCTGGCCACAGCACTCCACAGCTTCCCTGTCACCATGGACCACACCCATGTCTTCATTCACCTCACCTGTGTCCCTACGGTCTTGTGTTTTGTTTCCCCAGCATGCATGTTCAGTGTAAGAAGTCACACTGGGTTGCACACAGTAGGAGGTCAAAAGCAGACCTACATACCTGGTGTCAGTAAAGTCATTTATCTCTGCACTCCTGTCAGGTGATGGACTTTCTATAGATATGTTGACACCAAGGACTACAGTAGACCGCTTTGCCTCAAAGACATTCTGCTGTGTGCACACATGTACTTGTGCACACACATACTTGTGCACACACATGCATACCTGTGCATTCCCATGCAGTATGTGTGACTGCATCAGACACTTCTGAATGAGGTGTTTTTGCTGTATGTCCAGGCTTCTGAACTGACTTTGTCATTAAAACACTTTTGAAAGCCCACATGGGTTAGAAGCTTGATTTTATAGCTTTGGAGACTTGGAAGTGAGGTATTGTGGCAGCTGGGGACCTTCTGGGGCATCTCTGCTCCATCCACCGAGAGCCCTAAATAAAGCCTCTGGTGGCTCCAAGGTGCATCTGAGGCTTTATGGCTTTTCTTCATTCCGAGAGGAGATTCCGAGGAGATTGCGAAGTATCTGGTGGAACAGGCACCCCGTGTGCCCCTAGTGGGGGTGTCATTTGCCTTTCCAGACCATGGCTGTGCACAGCTCACTCCCTAGGAAGACAGGAAGGTAAGATGGTTGAAGAGTGCAAGCCTAAGGCACATTTAAAATGACTGCATTGGGGCTAGTGAGATGGTTTGGTGGTTAACAGCACCCACTACTCTTGCAGAGGACCTGGGTTTTATTTCCAGTACCCACATGGCGGCTAACAGCTGTTCTAACTCCAGTTCCAAGGGATCCGACATCCTCTTCTGACCTCCGCGGGCATTGCCCGACATGGGTGCACTGACCTCCATGCAGGCAGTACACTCATTCACATAAAATAAGTAAACTTTAAAATGACTGTATTTCAGAAACTCTGTAGACCTCTCAGCAGAGATTCTGAGTGCTTGAAACAGTGAGCCAGCAGATCTGCACCACCAGGTCTTCTCCTGAGGTAAGGCCCTGGGTATTTCAGGCCTCATCACCATGCGGACAGCCCCCATCTCCACTTCCTGTCTGTTCCTGCCTAAACCAGAAGCACAGGGGAGAGGGCAGGAGGGCTGCTGGAAAGGGCAGCTGTGTGCCAGCTGATCGGGACAGGGATGGAGTTTGTCACTGCAGCCTTTGCCAGTGCCAATCTCTGAGGAACGACCACTCTCCCTCACCTGGACAAAATGTCACATATCTCTGGTCGTGAGCTTTTTCACGGAAGATGCAAGTTGAAGGGTGAGCTCTAGGCACAGCTGCTTGTGAGCATGGCCCTGATGAGGCCTTGGTGTGTGCAGAGCAGTTCTGCTACCTGGCACATCCTCATAGGAAAAAAGGGCATTAGGCTTTTCTAAATGTAGTATTCTGAAGATGGGCACAGTGATGCATACCTGTGCACGAGGGTGTTGGAGACAGGAGGATCAAGAGTTCAAAGTCATCCTTGGCTACACTGTGAGGTGGAGGCCAGCCTAGGGTGTATTAAACACACTGTCTAAAAAAAGAACTTAGAGCCAGGTACCCTCGTGCACACCTATAATCCTAAGGAGGCTGAGCAAAGGATTTCCAGGCCACCCTGGGTGAAGCAGCTCACACCTTAATCCCTGCATGCTGGAGAGATGGCTCAGTGGTTTAAGAACACTGGCTGCTCTTGCAGAGGACCTGGGTTCAGTTCCCAGCACCCACATGTCCTCTAACAGTTGTCCCTAACTCCATTTCCAGGTGATCTGACACTCTCTTCTGGTTTCTATGGGCATTGCATGCACAGGTATACTTATATACATGCAGACAAAAACACTGAGACACATGAAATAAAAAAATAAGAGGGCTGGAGAGATGCTCAGTGGTTAAGAACACCAGCCACTCTTGCAGAGGACTGGGGTTCAATTCCCAGCACCCACATGGCAGCTAACCACCACCTGTAACTTCAGTTCCAGGGAATTCAGTGCTGTCTTCTGACCTCCATGGGCATGACACGACATGGGTGCACTTACACTCATGCAGGTAATACACCCATACACATAATTTTAAAAAATTTTAAAAATAAATGAGGGGCTGGAGAGATGGCTCAGTGGTTAAGAGCAAGGACTGCTCTTGCAGAGGACCTGGGTTCGATTCCCAGCACCTACATGGCAGCTATGAACCGTCCTTAATGCCAGTTCCAGGGGAATCCAAAGCCCTCTTCTGACCGCGGGGGCATTGCATGACACGGGTGTACTCACATACTTGCAGGCAATACATTCATACATATAAAATAAAAAATATTTTTAAAATATAAAAAATTAAAATCAACAACAAAAGTCACCCATTTTATTCTGCTCCTAATTGAAATTAGAATTCAGTCACATGTCCACAAGTCTGAGGGAACATTTAAAGCCATTAGTGAGATTTTTTTTTTTTTTTTTTTTTTTTTTTTGAGACAGGGTCCCCTTTTAGCCCAAGCTGTCCTGGAACTCACTACATAGACCAGGCTGGCCTTGAACTCACAGAGACCCGCCTGCCTCTGCCTCCCGAGTGCTGGGATTAAAGGCTTCTTGCCACCATGTCCGGCACCATAAGTGAGATTTAAAAGCAAGAAGATAAACATGGTTACAGTGTTTAATGTAAAAAGTAACTTCTTACCAGGTGTGGTGGTACTTGCCTTTGATCCCAGCACTTGGGAGGCAGAGGCAGGTGATCTCAGAGTTTGAGGCCAGCTTGGTCTCCATAATGAGTTCCAGGCCAGCTGGAGCTACAGGGAGACCCTGTCTCAAAAAGACAAAAAAAAAAAAAAAAAAAAAAAAAAAAAAAAAATTCATGTTTGAGTGGCTGGCCTGTCATGTTGCCCTTGTTGTGTTTCTGAGGCTGAATCACAGGTCTGCCATCACCAGCGCCACATCCTCCTGCGAGGGCCTGGCTAGAAGTGGGCCTGACCCTGATGTGCATCAGCATTTTGCTACTCGACTTCAGGAGAACCAGCCCCTCCAAAAGCCCTGCCCTGCAGTTCCTATCGGAATGTAAGCACAGGACGGTCCTTTTTTGCTTTTGGAGTGTAGTACAAGGAGGAAGGCAGTGCATGTGTGCAGGTCAGCGGGTTTTCATAGTCCTTTGTGGGGAACCAACCAGCTAGGGCCCTGACGGAGCAGCTACAGCTTTCAATGACCACTCATGTCTGTTGAAGGGTCAATGACACACTCCACCCAGGACAGACCTAGTAGGACCCAACATGCGTGGGATGATGTCATGTGGCCCTGATAGCCCTGGGAGTCCAGCACTGGTCCCACTAGCCATCTTGGGGATGGCCTGTGCTTTCCTGGTTCTCATGGCTCCAGCCAAGGAAATCAGAACAGGATGAAAAGCTTGGGAGCCCTGCTCCCCACATAACCTAGAAGGCAGCCCCTAAGGAAGCTCCTGCCCAAGTTCTGCTGCTAGAGAAAGTTTTTCTATTAGAAGGGGGACTTGCAAGTTTTCTATTTCCTTAATATCTCCACAGAGTTAAGAAGTGAAGACATAACTAAAAGCTCTAATAGGAGCCAGACCTGGTGGTGGGCACACCTGACATCCCAGCTCCTCAAGGCTGAGGCAGGATTCAAAGTGTATGGTGTGCCCGAACCACAAAGTGGGTGAAGTCCAGCGTCGTCAACTTAGTGCAACTCTGCCTCAAAAAGTAGAGCGGTGTGCTAGCCTAGACCGAGGCCCTCGGCTCAGGCCCCACTAATGGAAAGAGAAAAATTCCAATACACCCCAAAGCATCAGGAGCACCAACAGTGCACGTCCTGACTGGGCAGAGCAAGGAGGCACTGTGCTGTCTCAGGCCCTTGAACCTGAAGGAGTCAGTGCACAGGACGTCCTCAGAGTCTCAGCTTCCTCCCATCTCTGCCTGTAGACTCCCACGAGTGTCAAACGTGGGAACCCTGCAGTCTGGCAGAACACCTGAATTCCCCATGAACTTATCTCCCTCGGCTCCTCACGGTCTTCTACTCTGAGCTTTCTGCAGCATGAACTGCACTTGAGGTCAGTGTGGTTTGTGGAGTCCTCCTCTGGGCTGCTCTCAGAGTCAACTGCCCTCCCTGCCCAGACATTCAGGAAAATAACAGCCCACAGAAGGCAGTGACATTTGCCGTCCATTCCGGCCTGGCTCCTTGACCTCGGGCTGTTTCATGTCTCGCCTCCTTCATCACTGTGCCCATGCTCACCCACGCGGTATGGGCATGTCAAGGAAGCATACTGGTGACGTGCTTATTTTTACGGCCGTCACACCGTTATGCTGAGTTGGTCACTCGGGTTTTTGCTTTGGAGGACCGTGCAGATCTGAGACTGTAAATGTTAACTTTCAGGTCTGAATAGATTCTTTGGAAATGGGCTTGAGGTTCAACATTTATTTTACTTTGGACAAATTTTCACTATCTCAGGGCTCTGACTTTTCTGGAAAGAGCTACAGACAAGTCCTCATGCCAGGAGTCAGGTGCTTGGACTGGGTGTTCTGCGGCCTAGTGATGATGTCTTAAAATGGCTTGTCTTGGTGGAGGGGATTAGTGGGCACTCTTAGCATTGCTGGGCAGCACACTGGGGATGGCGGTCTGAACTGCTGCAGTAGTTCTAACTGTTCTCTCTCCTGGGGACGGGAGGCTGCAACTAGAAGCCATGGAACAGCGGAGCTGGGGTCAGCCCGGCAGTCTACCCACTGTCACTGACTGCGGAGGGGAAAGATGGTCCCAGGGAGTTCTTGCGTTTGGAGTGCCCTCCCCTTGGCAGGGGAGATGGCATCACTGTCACAGGTGCGCTTAGCCGCAGCACCCAGCCATGTCAGGGCATGTCATGTCATGCCTGTTGTCTCCAGTCTGACCCCAAGGAGAAAGAGCGTGTGCCAGGTGGGAGTGTGTGGGGCTCAGCTGCTCAGTGGGGAAGTGAGGCTCAGACCCTCTTCCAGGGGTGCAACAGTATGAGTTCCACCAAATTTGTATTGTCACATAGCCATTGCCACAGCCACATGGGAAACCTTGAGGGCCCATTGCACAGGCTTCTCAGCCCTGGCCCCCCGGCTTGTCTCCATCCCGCCCTTCCTTCCAGTCTGCCCGTTTTCATTTGGAATAATGCATCTGAAAGTCACTGTGGGCGTGTGGGAGCCAGCACGTGTTTCTATTGCTGAGCAGTGAAGTTTCACCTTTAGTCTGTCCACCAGCTGTAGGTGCTTCAGTTGTCTCAAAATTTGGGGTAGTTGTGAAAAAAGTCACTATAGGTGTGTGTGTGTGTGTGTGTGTGCACGTGTGTGCAGAGGCCATTCTTGGGTGTCCTTGTACCATCATCCTCCAAGGTTTGTTTTTGTGTTTTGTG